TCGCCTCCCCCCTCGCCTCCCCCCTCGCACCTGGCTACGTCACTGATTTGAGAGAATGTAAGGTGCCGCACATTGTGACAAACCTCAATCTCGACACACAAGACAACCTCGACTTGCCTCCCGGGAAAATTTTGAAATCTAGACTCCCTGAAATGCGATTTCGAGGCATTTTGGGGTGAAATTTTGCAGAGTTTCGAAGATTATAAAGTTACGGTGGCCCAGAAGTGTCACAACACAATTCAACTTAGAAAACACCCTCCAAAGTCCACAACACATTTCCAAACTGGAAACACAATTCAATAATTGCAAAAAACACATTTCAATGTTCACAACACATTTGCAAACTAGAAACACCATTCGATAATTGTTCAAAACACATTTCAATATTCACAACACATTTGCAAACTAGAAACACAATTCAATAATTGTTCAAAACACATTTCAATATTCACAACACATTTCACACTTGAAAACAAAACTATTGAAAACACATTCCAATATAATCACACAACAAAAATCGAAATCGAAAAAACATTTCAAAATACTGGCAACACATGGAAACATCGACGAACGCCGTTACTGGTGGGGAAGGTTCGGCTACGCATGCGCAGAACAAAAAAGCCTCCTATTTACTCAATATAGGCTGTGGGCCGTTGTGCGAAAAAGTGCTTAGAAAAGCAATTTCGTGGCAACCCCCTGGGGAATAGATTTTCTGTGGTTCAATGCATAGTACCATAGATGCTCAATGGACCATTTGCATTATAGACTAAATTTTGATCTAGACAAAAATTTCATCACAGCTTGAAAGAGCATCACAAAATTAGTAATATTCCAAAGTTTCGTTGAGAAATGTTGTAAAATTGCGGATAATATAGCCATGCGAAGTTTGCCGTTTTTCAGTCATTTTGTATTACGCACGGGAAATTGACAGCCCAATCGGGTGTTGGGGCATCAATTTCCCATTTGTAATACAAAATGACTGAAAATTGCAAATTTCGCAAGGCTATATTATCCGCATTTTACAACATTTCGCAACGAAACTTTGGAATATTACTAATTTTGTGATGCTCTTTCAAGCAGTGATAAAATTTTTGTCTAGTTCAAAATTTAGTCTATAATGCAAATGGTCCATTACCATAGAAATTTCCCAAGCAAAAAACTTGCCAAACACCGAGCAAATGGGTATTAAAGGGGAAGTCAAGTCCGTAATGTAAACAAACGGTTTGTTTACATTTTGAACTGCTGTATTTTTTAAAATATGATGTACTGTCTGAATATCTAACAACATTTTGGTTCGTTATGCTTCTACATGAATATGAAATAGAGTTTGTGTTCAGAAAAATTCGAAACATTCAAAATATGGGCAATGTTTACCTCAGAGGGCCCTCTATTGTTATGCGCAGAACCGATGCGCAGAACGGACTTGACTTCCCCTTTAAGCAAAAAAATGTGAAATTTTGTATTCAATTACAACAAAAATGACTTGCATCATCAGAAAGCTTACAAAAAACCGAACATAAGACATTTAAACAGTTTTTTATATCGCAAATTGTTTTTAAGTTATACGCTGTCAAAACGCGTTTTTGACCTAGTACCCAGTCCTTATTGCGACATTTTGGTCCAATTTTCACATTTAAAACAGCAATAACTCGAAGACTATTTGAAGGATCAAAAAACTGTTTGAATGTCTTATATTCGGTTTTTTGTAAGCTTTCTGATGATGCAAGTCATTTTTGTTGTAATTGAATACAAAATTTCACATTTTCTTGCTGTAATACAATTTAATAGACGATAATCACTGATGACCCATTTTCTCGGTGTTTGGCAAGCTTTTTGTTTGGGAACTTTTTGTGGTAGTCGAGTATCCATGGTACTATGAATTGAATCACAGAAAATCTGTTCCCCAAGGGGTTGCAACGAAGTTAAATAATTTTGGCCAACGGCCCACGGCCTATACTAATCTCCGAAAATCATAAGTTTTGTTATAAATGCGGCAATCCATCGCCTGGTGATACTGGTTGCTCGTCAAAGGCAATTCCAAAGCCACAGTCTTTGGCTAGGGATGGAAAATTAAAGTCCAAAGGCACAGGTTCAACGCCAACATTTCAGGCATTTCAAGCGACAAAGAGGAAAGAAAGGATATTTAATTTTAGACCGAAAGGAAATACGGTGTACTCACTGTACTGGTGTATTGATCGCCGATGTTTCCATGCTAGTATTTTGAAATATTTTTTCGATTTCGATTTTTGTTGTGTGATTATATTGGAATGTGTTTTCAATAGTTTTGTTTTCAAGTGTGAAATGTGTTGTGAATATTGAAATGTGTTTTGAACAATTATTGAATTGTGTTTCTAGTTTGCAAATGTGTTGTGAATATTGAAATGCGTTTTGAACAATTATCGAATTGTGTTTCCAGTTTGGAAATGTGTTGTGAACATTGAAATGTGTTTTTAGCAATTATTGAATTGTGTTTCCAGTTTGGAAATGTGTTGTGGACTTTGGGGGGTGTTTTCTAATTTGAATTGTGTTGTGACACTTCTGGGCCACCGTATAAAGTACATCAAAGACATAATTTTGTTTACCAGATATTTCTCCTCGGAACTAAATGAATTTCCTGGAAAAGACACCTTGGAAAACTGAAGGAGGGGACCGTGTCACCTTATTTCGCCTCTGTGCGTGGGGGGAGACTCCCAAGTCCCAAACTACTCTACTACACACGTAAAAATCTTACAACTTGTCAACTACGCACGTAAAAACACACAAGTTGTAACAAGTCTGCAAACAAGTTGTTACAAGTCTGTTCACAAGCTGTCAACAAATTGTGTTCGCACTGCTTGTTCCCAGTTTGTTGTAACAAGTTTGAAACAAGCTGTTTGCAACTTGTAAAAAGCTTGATGGCATTACCAGCTTTGTTACAAGATTGTGCTAACAAGTTTGTTACAGCCATGTTACAAGGTTGTAACAATCTTGTTACATCAAGCATGTCACAGACTTGTCAGAACAACCTTGCAACAAGTAAGTCTGATAATTTCGACAAGGTTGTTACAAGTTGTCAACAAGTTGTTCCAAATCTGTTGACAACTTGTGACAAGCAGTGCGAATACATCTTGTTAACAGCTTGTGAACAGACTTGTAACAAACTTGTCGTTTTTACGTGTGTAGATGTGTTCGCAACAGGCTTGTAGCAAGCTTGCCAACAAGTTGTAACAATGCTGTTATTTTATCAAGTTGCTACAAGGTGGTCACTCACAACTTGTTGACAAATTGTTGAATTGCAGGACGATAACAAGTTGTTGGAACAACTTGCAACAAGACTATTGAGCTCAACAACCTTGTAGCAAGTTGTCAACTAGCCGTTGACAACTTGTCAACAAGCTGGGAACAAGCAGTGCGAACACATCCTGTTGACAAGTTGTCGGAACAACATTGCTACAAGTCTACTGCAGGTTTGTTACAACTTGTGCGTTTTGACGTGTGTAGCCCG